TTGTCTGATGTCTTAAAACAATCCCCTAAGGGCTCCATAGACAATTAATAGAAATATTTTTGACATTTTTTTTCTTCTACTGAACGTATCTCTAACAAAATATCATGGTACTTTTAGGCACATTGCCAAGTCACAACATGGCAGTTATAAATACAAGCAGGATTTCTCAAACCAATAGAGGAATCTCTTGCTCCCTCTCTCCAAACTGCCAGCCATGGAAAAGAAGACCTGGTCACAGTGTGAGGAGAGTATTCCCAATAATGTGAACCACTCAAAAGCTACAATCTTCTGATACACAGATGATTTGGGAAAGAGCAAAGATATAGCATTACCCCAAGGATGGGAAGTGTAGACTGACTAACCAGCAACACATCCAGTAAGATTGCTTTCAAATACATCTTCTTGCTTCATAAGGAAAATAAAGAATGGTTTCATTTCAATGTTTTCAAGATTGCTATCATAAGATGAGTAATTATGAAATTATAGCTTATCAGTACTGGATAGGCCACTAAATATATTAGCAAAAAGATAGAATTCTGCTAAAACCACAGAACAAAAGAGGCTTGTGGTTATTTATAGAATAGCAAATTGAATATCTTTTAAATAACTATTAAGGTAGGCCTCATGAACATTGATAAACAATGAAGACAGAAGACATACTAATGAATGCTATCAATAAAATTCATAGAAAACTATGAGGAGCTAAAATCAACTTATAGACTCTTGTCAATTCTTTTATTAATTAGAAAACCCCAATGAGATCTTGTTCCATCTCACTGCTTAGAAAGCCAAGAGAGGTTACATGTCTAAGGCACACAGTAGAAGAATTACTACAACAGACTTGAGCTAGGAGGGTCTCTTTAGCCCTCAACTCATCAGATCCCACAGACAATCAAACAGCATGATATTGAAATGATCAACAGAAAATACTAATTTCAATAGTCAAACAGACTAAAAGGTAATAAATGCACATATCCTCATTACTCAGATGTATACCTTGCCTGAAACCTCAGTGCAGAGTTTACACCCAATTTGGGCTCTAAGAAAAGGCAGTCCTCTCTAGCTGGCTGAAACCTATGACAAGCTCACTTCTTCCAACACTTCACTTTGACATTTCAGAATGCCGGTTCAAAAAGGATAACCCATTAGTAAAGAATAAAAGACTGCTAAAATTACTAAATAAAACAATAATAAAAGTATTTAATGGCGATAAACTAGAATGCCTAGAGATTTTTAAAAGGCAACAAGCAAACGCTATATTTCACAAGAATTGGTCTTTTTTGTGTGTGTGTGTGGCAGTGAACCAAACTGAAGTCAGTCTTTTCCTATAAGATAATAAATTCAGATTTTTAAGATATCCTTGTCATATTTCAGCTAAAACTTGAGATCTCCTGTGGGTAAAATAATCTCAAAGACATACAGCTTACAATATTTACCATTAATTTAAAAGTCTGGGCTTTCAATACCAGGCTTCTCAGCAACTGATTTTGCTTTCTTTGTAGGCATTATAACTCAGGTAGCTATGGTCAAACAGAGGAATGCCTGCCACCAGGCCAACTAGGTAAGCTGTTTTCAGTTTCAAATTTATACAGAATAGTTATGTGGACTTTTTCCCAACACTACACCTTTTAGATTAATATATCTCCATTAACCAATGGCTATCCATGTGACTCACAATTAAGAGAAAGATTATTTTAATATAAACATCATGCAGTGTCCCACAGAAACTAAACTGATTATCACAGCTGAATGTTTAAAGGATAGGAACTAAACAGATTGATTAGACTTACCGTATTTTTCGGACCATAAGACGCACTTTTTTTCACCCAGAAGTGGGGGGGGGGGGGGGAAGTTCCTGCGTCTTATGGTCCAAATATAGCCTACACATATACTTTTAAAAAAAAGTTTTTTTACTTGCCCGGCTCTGTGTGGTCTCTGTGTGCTTGCCCGGCTCTAAAATGATTCTAAAAGCTGCTGTTTACTTTACAGGGTTGATTACATGTGTTTATGACTGTGATGTTGGGTTTTAATGCACATTAAATATTTTAGGACACTATTTGTTTCAGAATCTTTTTTTCTTCATTTCCCTTCTCTAAAAACTGGTGCATCTTATGGTCCGGAGCGTCTTATGGTCCGAAAAATACGGTATATGGGAATGCGCCATGCCTCAAATTGGTGTTATTTCAATGAGGAAACAATCTAAGAATGAGCCTTTGGAAGTTGTAAATAAAAGTGACGTGTTTTCCATTTTTATTTAATTTATCGGGGCAGTATTGATTAACAAAATTGTACAGTTTACAGGTGCATAATTCCACAACACATCATCTGTACTCTGTATTGTGTGTTCACCACCCCAAATCACGTCTTCTTCCATCACCATTTATCGCCCCTAAAACCTGCTCCATCTTTTCCCACTCACCCTCCCCCAGCAATCACCGCACTGTTGTCTGAATCTATGAGTTTTTGCTCTTTTTTTTTCTTTTCTGCTCATTCCCTCCACCACAAACCTTAGCCCTCCAAACCTCCTCACCCCCAGCTGTCAGCCTGCTCTCTGTCTGTGAGTCTGTCTCTGTGTTGCTTGTTAGTTCATTTTGTTCCTTAGATTTCACATGTGAGTGAAATCATATGGTACTTGTCTTTCTCTAACTGGCTTATTATGTAACTTAATTCTCTCCAGGTTAACAGCCATTATGTCTCTAAACATTCAACAGAATGTTTGCTGTGATCATTAAGGTAGAACTTACATATTTATTCTAAAAGTATTGCTTGTGGTCAAAATAGTTTCTCAGCAACGCTGCATATTCTCACTAGCAATAGTTTCGATATAGCTTTCAGAAATCACCTCAAGTCACTCAGACCCCAGGCTGGTACATAAACTACATTTTAAATAAAAATAAAAAAATAAAAAACAAGCATCACTATCAAGTATATTTAATGATCTAGTTATGGAAGCAATGCCCCAAATTGGAGGAATTCTCTAAAAAAAATATTCTGAATAATAAATAGTTCAGCACTGGAAGTATATAACCACAGAGTGACTTCTTTGAAAACCTCAGCTATTTGTACTATATGCTGTCATATGTCTGAAAACAATTCTATAACTCATAAGCACACTTCCTACATGAACCTGCCTAATGCCTATCCTGTCTTGTGGGGCTTACAATTGACATCAAAGTTATTTGGCTGTGAACCACTAAATAGTGTATATTAGTAATTTTCAACTTCAGTGTGCCACAATAATTTTTAAAACATACAATACCTTGACTTTTTAGTCAGGGACACTGACCTCTTTTCCCTTATATTGTCTAATAAAAAAAAAATGACAAAAGCCAACACAACAATAGCCATACAGTGTGAATGAATCAAAATTATACTTATTTTTTGGTCAGGAGAGCAATAAAATGTTTGCGTTGTGCTGCAGAATTTTAGTAATTAGTTTATGTGTACCATGAAATGAAAAAAAGGTTGAAAATCACTAATCTATACTCATAGCAAAGAAGTTTTCAGATCATATGCATCTTTCTAACAATCATTTTTGTTCTTGCATGTTCTGAACACAATAGAACACATTTAAATCATATAGTCTTCAAATCCAAATAAAGTAATTTCCTATCTGACCACATCATAGTGTTAAAAATTAGTTTAATTATTTGGCAACAATAATTCAGAATGTGGCATCAGAAGAGGTTGTGATGCATCCCTGAAACCTTCCTGTGGCCCTTCTTCATATGCCTGTCCTACAACATATTAGCTGGAATCGCATGAAATTGACATTCCTATAGGTCACAGATGGTTGAATAGCAAAAACTGGGTATGGCTCAACTTAATAATATTGCTCTAAAGAAGTTTAAACACCCATCAACAGAGCTGGTAAAATGAGATTATTATCTACATGTCCACCAACCTATGTATTTCTACACAGTTTGATAGTTCACAAAAACCTATTAAGTTCCATATATGTTATGGAACTTTGCAACCCTGTAAAGTAGGCAGATTAGATATCCTGATCTCCACTTTACTGGTGAGAAAATAAGGCTCGGATGTTAAGTTACTTGCTCAAATGTCCAAAAGTAATAGAGTAAGGAATCCTTCTGCTTGCTGCAAACAACATTCCTTTAGAAGAAGAATCAAAATCATCTAAGTGAAAACATATATACTCTTAATGCTTATTGGTGGACAGATTCCATCAATACCTATGCAATAAATGTCTAGATTGGAATACATAAGTGCTTTCAAAAATGCGAGTACATACTCAAGTACATTCTTATCATTTATTGGCTCAATTCTGCAACCTGTACTCTCACGCATTCATCCTTATACCCCATGGGCCTGCCTGCCCCTAACCCCCAAAGGTCACAGCTAACTATACTATGCATCCATTGAGGAACAAAACATTACACTAAACATACAATGTAGGCCTCATACCATCAATCTTTATTTTACTTAAAGATAGCTAAAGCCTGGGATGTGATTCTCAATATTTGTTAATTAAATGAGTGGTCCATGACTCAAGTTGATTGTGGTAATGTAACAACTCCACTTACAGTTTAGAAGAAACATTTGCTACTGCTTAAATCTATTCTACAATCATCACTATTTATTGATAAAAGAAAAAAGTTTTACACAAACTTCTAATACAGGCAATTCCGTACATTAAAAAAATCTGAGTAAGTGACAGTTGGTACAATGTAATAAGGCTTTCTCCTCAATCACCCACCCCTACTGGCTCATCAAGCAATAATAGAACCATTCTTGTTTACTAATTTAAAATAATATATATTTCACCAATGCTATCTTTAGATACAGAGGCTGATAGCTCCTTATTACTGTCTGGAACTATGGGGTGTCCATTTGCAGGGATCAAATCTCACTTCTTACCAGGTAGGTAAACATATCTGTGACTATTGTAGCCATGGAGAAGGGAGTGAAAGTGGACATACTTCATAACATGCACACACACCCTTGCTTTTAAATTGTTTGTAAATGCCTTAAATACTTACTCACACAACAGAACACCATTCTCTAGAGAGGCTCGAAAATCCTGTGTTTCAAAGTTCTTCTCTGTTACTGCCTGAAAGACAGATTTCAGTATTAATTTTCTTTTAACCGGGAATAAGACACAAGTCAAATTCAGATTAATTGATATGCATCTGATATTATCACTGAAGGATACGCATATTATCAAAAGCTTTTCCACAAAAGAAATTATATGAGGTTCTGTGTTACAAAGAGTGAGGTTATCCATTTTAGTATGAAAATATAAACAGAAAAAAACACAATGAGCATTTTCTGTAATGTAACCATTTTATGGATAATAAAAGTTGGTAGCTACTGTTTGAACATATTTTGTATTTAAAAATCTGTGGGTGGTCTATTTTACTAAAAGTAAATAAAAACAGTAAATAAACTTGAAATACCAACTATATATGCACATAATTAATTTCAATTCCATCTTTAAATTCCTCACATTTCATTACAAAGATAAATAGCAGAGGACCTGACTCTCCTTAAATGAATCCATGAAACGGTCTGTGTAAAGAGCTATTTACTGAAACATCCAAGAGAGAACAATGTTAAATCCTAACACAGAGAAACAAAATAGATAGAGAAATGGTAGACAGTAAGAATTTCAAGCAGATAATTCCTCACTTAAGACTCCTATATATGAGCAGGCCACCTAAGGTTACGACCATAAATGTTCTTAGTGAAACTGCTGGGAAAATCTCTACAGATTCTGTCTCTTGGGGATAGGGGAAATGGGAAGGGAGTTCCATAGGGAAAACAATAGCAGAGAAAACAGTGGAAGGGAAATTGCTTCAAAAACAACTCTTGGGACTGGATCCCCAGCTAAGGGTGTGGGCAAGAGAACCACCATCTGCTAGCAGGAGTCCTTGTTCCACCTGCCACTTCAAGAAGAAATACAATCTTGGAAACCTGATTTGGGAAGTAATCCATCTAACTCCCAGATGAGCCAAAGTGCCCCCCTATCCTTATTCGCCACTGCTAGCTTTACTGTCCACCTGGAATCCCTATATGTCTTCTGCATCTTTCCCACAATGCCCGACATAGCTCTAGCTAGACACACTACCTGTTAATTGACACAACAATGGGTAATTTTAGAATTAAGGTTAGTTTCTCACAACGTGGACAGGAGGCAAGGCTACAGTGACACACAAAAAGGCAGGAGCATCCTGTGCATGGCATTCATCTACAGCAGTGTTTCCCAAACTTCTCTCATGATGAGAATCACCTGGTGGAGTTGTTAAAATGCAGATTCCTGAATCCCAACTAAGAACTTAAGTATACAATTTTACCTATATGTTCCCAAAAATTCTAGTTTAGCACTTCTTAGTTGAGATTCAGGAATCTGTATTTTAACAACTCCAGCAGGTGATTATCATCATGAGAGAAGTTTGGGAAACACTGATCTGCAGGACAGCTACACTGCTGTGGAAATCAAACACCTGCTGAGTATCTCTGGTGCAGATACTTAACCTGGATACTGGGTGGAGATCTTAAAAAAAAAAAAAAAAAAAAAAAAAAAAAAAAGGAGGGGGGAGTAGGAGGGGGATTCTTCCCTCAAGAACTTCACAGCTGCTTAAGTAAAAGACAAAGTTTAAAAGCACAGTAAACGCAGAGAGAGGAATCCAAGATGGCTGCCCAGGTAAACACCTAGCCGCAGCCGCACACAACAATTTCAAAAAAATACAACTAAAATATAAAATGGACATTACCCAGAACTACAGGAAATTCAACTGACTGGAAATTCTACAACAAGAAGCAAGGAGAAAACCAGAAGAAAGCGCAGAGGAGCTGTAAAAGCCCAAGGTACGGAGACACGCACAGAGAGGACGGAGCCGGAGAGGAGGGAGGCTGAGTGCCTGGCTGGCATTCCCTAGCAGGAAGGAGATAAAAGCTCCGACTGTGTTGGGCCCCAGTTCTGACTGCTCTGAACCCCAGTTCTAGGCCAGAACCCGGGGACCCAGGCTCATCCATAGGGAGCTGGGCTGTAAGGTGGAACCCCGGGGAAGCGGCGAAAGGAGGTCCCAGCGGCGCGCACATTGCACGCGGAGAAGGGACAGTTGGCTGTGCCACGGAATTGCCCTGGCGGGAAGGAGACTGGGGCTCCAGACTTCTCTGAACGCCACCTCCAACTCCACTTCCAACTGAACTGAACCCCAATACAGGGCTCATTGGGGGAAAGCCTAGACTGTTTGGTAGCAGGCAAAAATCGAGGGCACCTTTCTCTCAGAGGCGCTTGCAGTGAGTACTGAAGGGCCCTGAGACCCAGGAATCGCATAGGAAGGGGCTGACAGAAGCCAAGGCTGTAGGCTCCACCCTGAAACTCTGCCCCATCTGTAGCTGCAAAATGCGACAACGAAATAGATCACAAACGAAAGAAATGGAGGACAAAAAGCGACTGGATATAGAGTTCAAATCTACACTCATAAGGTTTTTCAAGAATTTCCTAGAAAAGATCTATAAGACCTATGAGGATTTGAAAAGAGATCAACTAGAATTAATAAGGAATCAATAAGAAATGATAAGGGATCAACAAGAAATGATAAGGGATCAACAAGAAATAAAGAAGAATACATTGTCTGAAATAAAAAATATTATACAGAGTCCTAAAAACAGAAGGGAAGATCGCAAGAATCAAGTCAAAGATTTGGAACATAAACAGCCAGAAGACACTCCTCTCCAGAAGCTAGAAGGCAAGAGAATCCAGAAAATTGAAGATAATGTAAGAAACCTCTGGAACAACCTTAAGCGAACCAACATCAGAATTATGGGGGTCCCAGAAAATGAGAGAGAGCAAGATATCGAAAACATACTGAAAGAAATAGTGACAGGAAACTTCCCCCACCTGGTGAAAGAATTAGACTTACAAGTCCAGGAAGCGCACAGAACTCCAAACAAAAGGAATCCAAAGAGGACCACACCAAGACAAATCATAATTAAAATTCCAAGAGCAAAAGACAGAGAGAGAATATTAAAAGCAGCAAGAGCAAAGAAGCTAGTTACCTATAAAGGAGTACCTATACGACTGTCAGCTGATTTCTCAACAGAAACCATGCAGGCCAGACGGGAATGGCAAGAAATATTCAAGGTGATGAATAGTAAGAACCTATAGCCAAAGATAATCTATCCAGCAAAGCTATCACTCAGAATCGATAAAGAGCTTCACTAATAAAAAAAAGCTAAAGGAGTTCATCACCACCAAACCAGAATTATATGAATTGCTGAAGGTGGTTCTTTCAGAAGAGAAAGAAATAAAGATAAAAATTATGAACAACAAATATGTAACTATCAACAAGTGAATCTAAAAACCAAGGAAATTAAAAAAAAATCTGATGAACAATATTAACTGTTGAATATAAAAGAATCAGAGGTATAAAAGGGGAGTGAACTGATGATTCTTGGGGAAAAGGGGAGAGGGGGATGTGGGAAGAGACTGAACATAAACTGTGCAACTATGGATGAGGACAATGGAGAGTGGGGAAAGGGCAGAGGGTGAGGTGGGAACCTGGTGGAGGAGAGCAATGGTGGGGGGTGGGGGGGAGGAACATTTGTAATAATATGAACAATAAAAATTTATTAAAAAAAAAACAAAAAAAACGCAAACAGAATGGCACATTTGGGGAGAGAGAACCTTGAGTGGCCCATGGATGATCTCAGGTAATCTGTGTAGCACAAATTCCTATTTCCCCAAGTAGATCCAATACAAACTTAAGATGAGCACTAATCCCAATGAGTGAAAACATAGTGATATCTAATTTTTCTTGGAACTCCTACCCAAAGCCAAAAAGCACAAAAGGGCCCAGAAACATCAAAGCACATATCAAAGTCCATTTTCTCTAGTCATAGGAAAGCCACTCGGAGCCATCAAGACTTAGTTGTCCTGCTGTGAAACGATCTAGCAATTATTTTCCCAAATCAATGTAGATTGGAAGCAGTGGTTTAGAAGATAAAAAGAGCTATGCCCTGTTGGGAGCCAGCAGAGTTGAGGCAAGCAACTCAGTCTTAAGGAAATAGAATTAAGTTCCTTCTAGCAGAAGTTATATGGTGCCCTGAGGGCTTGGCCAGAAGATAAGATTAACCTGCTGCTTAGCATCTTCCTGCTGCTTCCCCTTCCTGATCCTCCCCCCTAGATAGCCCAGCCTTGGAATGTTGCACTTTGGAATGTTATGCAAAGACCCCTCTGCATAAGCAACCCTGCCCCCCTTTGTTTCTGCTGTATAAATACAGCCATTTCAGAGAATAAAATTGAGGCTTGATCAGAACCTTGTCTTGCCTCCATTCTTCCGCGTTCCTTGTTTGTTTCATTCTCTTAGGTGGTTCCTGCGTGCCCCCATTGTTGCCCCGCGGGTCGGGACAAAATGGCATCCAACGCGAGGCCACTGAGGACCTCCAACGAGAACGTCTACCGGAAAAGCCCTGGCCAGGCACCCCCCAGAGTCGCCGCGAGGACCCACGAGTGAAGACTCAGCACTAGATCACCACGGTCCGCCCGCTGTGAGACAGATCGGAATAAAGGTAGGTAGATGATTTTTCAAACAAGATTTCAGAACATTTCACCCCTTTTTTTGCTCAATTGTCATTACTGGCTTTCTTGGTTGGTTCCTTCCTGTGTACTAATAAGCACTCACTTGCCGATCTGGGGAAGAGTGAAAGGTACTCATTTCCAGCTGTGAGAACTCCGATTCACTTGAACTCCTACCATCTCCCGGTTTTCTTGGCGAGAATCCTCTCCAATTAGATCTACTCTTAAAACCTTGAGCTTGCTTTGAACAAAAGGTTGTTCACCTCACAGACTCAACCACGGGGAGACCTGCGCGCCTGAGGAGGGCAAACAGGGTCTCCTCGTCTGTAGAGGGTCCGTGTAGGTGGATTATACCTACCAACTGTTTCACACAAGCAAGGGAGTAAAGGGTAGAGTCGAAAAGAGAGTAATTCCGCCTGAATTCCTGGGTTGACGAGAAAATTCAAGCTGACCCGGCACGGGGTTTATACGTCCCGGAGGCTTACGTGGAGAAGGAATCTCTTTGAGAGCCATTCAATCGACCAATA